CTCCGCCGCCTCCGCCACCTCCGCCGCCTCCGCCACCTCCGCCGCCTCCGCTCCCTCCGCCACCACCGCCGCCTCCTCCGCCTCCACTGCTGCCACTGCCGCCTCCACCCCCGCCACCACTCCCACCACCACCCCCACCCCCTCCACTGCTTCCACCACCACCTCCACCGCCCCCGGCAGCCCCTCCTGCGCCCTTGCCCCCCTTGCCCTTGCCGGTGCGGCGTCTCCCGCTAGGGGCAGACGCAGCGCCGACCCCGTAGAAACCAACGAGGTCGGCAGCAGCAGCAGAAGCAACAGAGGGCAAGAGGGGGGAGGGGGAACACCCCTCAAAGACGGGGGTGCGAGGGTCACCACGAGAGGCTCCTACAGCGACTATGCTCTTCTCTGCTGCTAGGAGGCGCTCCTCGAGGAGGTCAACGGTGAGTGTGGTGGGGCAAACTGAGAGGAAGTGGTCCCTGACTAAGCGAAGGGAGTCAGGGAGCCGGGTGACTATGTAGTAGAGGGTGATGTAGATGGGGGGGGGTTTCTTGGCGCAGAACTCAGCAGGAAGCGCAGCGCGGTAGCGAGTGTCACTAGTGCGAAGGTGCGTAATGAGGTCAGCGACTGTGGGAAAGGCAGCAAGGTCAGGGAACAGGTACGGCAGCATGAGGCGGCTAAGCGCAGCAGTGGCAGGGGAGGAGTAGCGTGCAACTACAGTGTCGTACAAGGTCTGAGCACTCTTGTACTGGCTAAAGTGCGCACGCTCAGTGGTCGGTAAGTGGCGACGCACAGCAAGATGGGCAGCAGCATCGCGTGTGGCCCATTGAGAGCGAACAGTGCTGTCAGCAGTAGCAGGCGGGGCAGGGGAGGCACCAGAGGTGAGATCGAACAGGGAGAGTCCGTCTGCCCTATCGCACTGTAGGAACAGCTGGAGGTCATCGACCCAGACCTCAAAGTCAACAGCACGACCCTCAGTATCAAAGGTAAGAACACTGGGGGTAGCCATGACTGCAGTGGCCTAACAGGGAGTGATCTCACCAGTTCGAGTAAGTAGGGCCGGGGCGCGCCGGTAGGAACAGTAGTGGCTCGACGGTAGGGCGGCTCGGCGGCTCGGCTGCTGAGCGGCTCGGCGGCTCGGCGGCTCGGCTGCTGGGCGGCTCGGCTGTCAGGCGGCTCGGCTGTCGGGCGGCTCGGCTGTCGGGCGGCTCGGCGGCTCGGCTGCTGGGCGGTTCGGCGGCTCGGCTGATGGGCGGCTCGGCGGGTCGGTTGCTGGGCGGCTCGGCTGCTCGGCGGCTCGGCTGCTGGGCGGCTCGGCTGTCGGGCGGCTTGGCGGCTCGGCTGCACGGCGGCTCGGCTGCTGGGCGGCTCGGCGGCTGAAGGGGCCGCTAGGGGCGGCGACGAGGCCGCGTAGGGAGGGGAGCGGCGACGGGGCCGCTAGGGGCGGCGAGGGGGCCGCGTAGGTAGGGAGGCGGCGACGAGGCCGCTGAGGGCGGCGATGGGGCCGCTAGGGGCGGCGACGGGGCCGCGTAGGGGCGGCGACAGGGCCGCGTAGGGGCGGCGACAGGGCCGCGTAGGTAGGGAGGCGGCGACGGGGCCGCTAGGGGCGGCGACGGGGCCGCTTAGGGGCGGCGACGGGGCCGCTAGGGGCGGCGACGGGGCCGCGTAGGTAGGGAGGCGGCGACGGGGCCGCTAGGGGCGGCGACGGGGCCGCGAGAGGCGGCGACGGGGCCGCGAAGGGGCGGCGACGGGGCCGCGTAGGGGCGGCGACGGGGCCGCGTAGGTAGGGAGGCGGCGGCGGGGCCGCTAGGGGCGGCGACAGGGCCGCGTAGGGGCGGCGACGGGGCCGCTTAGGGGCGGCGACGGGGCCGCGTAGGTGGAGAGGCGGCGACGGGGCCGCTATGGGCGGCGACGGGGCCGCTAGGGGCGGCGACGGGGCCGCGTAGGGGGCGGCGACGGTGCCGCTAGGGGCGGCTACGGGGCCGCGTAGGGGCGGCGACGGGGCCGCTAGGGGCCGCGAGGGGCGGCACGGGGGGGCGTGGGAGGGGCCTCTAAGGGACCTCGACGGAAGGGCGGCCCACAGGGCGCGCCTCGGGCAGCAGCGATTGGCGCTCCGGTCAGAAAAAAAAAAAAAAAAAAAAAAATCAGTGGTGGGCCCAAGGAAGCGTTCCCACTAGGGAACCTGCTCTATACCATGTGAAAGAATGAGGAATGAATGAACTAGCACAAGGTTGGGTACAAGTAGGAAACCCTAGGAAACTGTACCCCATAGTGTCTACCCCACTATAGCTTAGACAAGCTACATAATATGAGTTTGACATTTCCTACTTGTACCCACCTGCTTCCTAGTTCATTCATTCCTCATTCTTCACACAGCTGTCGAACGGGCACCAAACCAGGTGCTTTTAACCAGCGCAGGGTAGGCTCGTGTTCACCCCCGTTATTCATCCGAATAAGGTCGACTGCATGAGTCGGAACCAGTAATCGGTGGGGATGGTGAGGTTCGGGAGAAGTAGGGCCGCAGATCGGTTCCACCGGCTTTAATCTGCTCCACGACGTTCTTCAACCCCCGCTTAGCCGTTGGGCAGTCTCTTTTCGCGTGTCCTGGCGGCCTGCACCACACTCCGAAATTGTCGGGGTGGCACCTTGAACATCGTTGAATCGTGGGCTGCTGCTGCTGTCCCCGAAAACGACTTCCTTGAACGGGGAAACCGATCTCGAAACTGTCGAACAGCTGGCAAACAGCTCCAGGCACGCAGTGTCGAACGAGTGTTTTTCGGGTGTTTAGTCCCGATATGCCCTTGCGCCTGCGCCCCACTTCCGCTAAGTGTGATTCAGCCACGTCGTTGTCTGTTGCAGCCCGTAAGTGTCGGCGGGTCCAAAGTTCCCGTCTGTCCACAAGCACTTCTACCGAAAACCGTCGACGACTCGCCCGCCAGTACGGTAAGCGCCGTACTATCCGGTCGGACGGGATGATACTCAACCTCCGCATAATTCGGGCGGCTTGAGCGTCTATCTCTCCCAGCCGTCGGGATCCTCTGACGCAAAACTCCATTTGCGCCTGGCGAGCTGCCCTTTTCTTCACAGTAGAAACATCCGAAAATCTCGCGCGCGCGTTGACGAACAACCACGCCAACTGCCGCACCAGACGACGACTCCGAAATCTTTGTGTAGATGCCGACGTAGGACAGCTGCCACACGAAATCAACTCCGAAATCGTCGGAACGCAGCGGAAATAATTCACGTTTAACGTCACGACAGCTTCAGCTGTCTGTTGCCCAGGGGGAGGGAGGCCACGGTCGATCGCGACCGTTCGAGGCAAGGATCTGGCGGTGGCGAAGGAGTGCCCATAAAATTATGGCCGCGAAGAGCAACTAACTAGTTCTCATGGCCGGCTAGCACGCAACTCCAAGACCCCAAGGCATCCTTCCTCGTCCCCCCCCCCTGAAGGTTATTACACTCTAAAAAGCGGGGTGAGCTAGGAAAGTAGCTATGATACCTGGTGTTATGAATGAACTTGCAGAGTGCACAGTAAAACGAGTATCGAGAATGAACTCAAAGAACTAACGATACAATGAAAGTGACGAGGCCTAAATAGGGGAAATGCTAGCTAGGCGGGGAGGTCGGGAATGGATGGCTCTGTGATGTTGCGATTGGTGCGGAGGCGACTCGGGGGTGGTTCGGTGCGACAAAGTAGGCAAGACAGGTTCGTCGCGTGACCCTCGGGGTGGCCTCGCTAACGAGTGCCTCAGTAAGGATTTGTAAATCCTTACAGAAGTGATGAACTAGGTGGAAACTAAACAATATTATTGTCATCACATTCGACAAAGTGTTGGCTAGAAGGCTGACCAGCCATTTAGTCCGTTTAATGGGCAAAACAGATCACGCCAACCTGATTCGAACCAGTGACCTAAGGATTGCTCAACTTCAGTCCTCCGCTCTACCAACTGAGCTACAGCAGGACGTTTAAAATGGCGAGAGTTAAATTTATTATTCGTAACGTTTTTTTCTAAACACACCTTGACCGCCATCTTGACCTTTGTCCAGCCATGGCGTCGCCACTCGCAGGCAAGCCACATTCCCCGTTAGAGTCCTGCCTCCTCGTCCTTGCTCGCTCCTCCGTCGTCCCACTCTCTTCTGCCTCATACCTCCTGCATTCTCATCTTTTTTGGGCTAGGCTGGAACTGTTTCACTAAATGCGGGGAGATGTAATGCCATTGAGGTCGTAGGTGCCTTGAACCACTCTGACGTGCCGGATCTCGGCCGAACGTCTCAGTTTTAATACATTTTCTTTTGCTGAATACGAAAATTGTGTCGTCGCCGCATAGGCACCTCCTCTGCTTCTATGTGACCAGCTTACCCTGCTAAAACCACTCATTCCTCTTCCCCTTTCCTCTCCTCCCCCTCCCCCAACCCGCTCTCCCCCCGTTGCACAACTTTTCTTCCGCCGTTCTGCCTCATCAGACCTGCCGGCGCGGCTCCGTCTCTTAATAGTCGCGCCGCTTCTCAAGCTCTGGCGGCGGCGCGGGGAGCTGATCGCAACCGCCAAAGCCAACCCCACGGCTCTAATCTCTGCTGGCGCCGCCCTAGGCGTCTTTCTTGGGACTTTCGTCGTCGGCCCGCTGCTCTTCTCCCCTCCACCGCTCCTCCCGCCATCCCACTTCCCCACCAACCACCTCATCCCCGCTATACGCGAATTCGCCGATCCGGAAATCGTAGACCGTTGCGTCGCTATAGCGGAAGGCGCTCCGGGGTCGCTTGCACGGTCGTTTTCCCAGGCGAATCAGGACTGGCTACTATTTCACAACTATTTTCGACACATTCCGTACGGCTCGGGCGTGTATGTAGACATAGGATCCAGCCACCCGGAGCATTTCAGCAACACTTATTTCTTCGACCGGTGCTTAGGCTGGCGCGGGCTGTGCGTGGAGCCAAACCCTAAGTACTATCACCAGTATGCTAAGTATAAGCGGACGTGTACTGTAGTTCCTGCGTGCGTTCTGGACCGTAACGCGACTCTTAAAATGGATTTCCAAGGCGGGATGTACGGAAGGGTGACTAAGGAGGATCCGTCTGGAGCAGCAGCAGGAGGGGAAGGTGCATCAACGGACGACAATGAGATCGAGTTTAATCCGACGGGTCCTGTTCCACGAGGCTACGCCCGATGCCGTCCGTTGGAGGAGATCCTAGACGAACATTCAATCCACACCGTTGATTTCGCGAGTATAGACGTGGAGGGCGCGGAAGCCTCGGCGCTCCACTGCTTCCCGTTCCGAGCCTACGACATCCGAACCTGGCTCGTAGAAACGGATAAGGCTGGGAAAGACTTATATCGAATCTTCATGCGAGCTGGGTATGCGCTTGTAACGGAAGTGCTCTGTCCTCAGAACCGGCTACACTCCCCCTTAACCCACATGGGCGTGAAACTCGACTCAATTTTCCGGCGAGTTACCCCTGGACCCTTCCCACCCTCCAGCGGCCCAGGTAAACTCGAAATTACACCCGAAACCGCCGCCAGTGCTCCGCCTAGCACCAACTCTTCCGAAACCCCGCCTCCGCCTCCCCGCCCGCGGCCCCCCTTCCGCCAGCAACCCCCTGTGTTCCCCTCAGGAGACTTTGTGTACGGGCCAGCGTGGTTGCCGGGGGGGGAGAGGGCGGGGAAGGGGCCTGAACCGTCGTGCAAGCACAAGGCACCGTGTGAGGAGCAGGTGCCGCATTTGGAGGAGGAGGAGGTGGAGGAGAGTAGCTTGAAGCTGAAGCTGGGGACGTGCAGGCGAGGGGGAATGGCAATGTCTGTGCACCCAGTTGCTTATAGAGGATGATTTTAAAGCGAGGATGGGGTTGGGTAGGCAGGGGATGGGAGGAGCAGGTGCAGCATTTGGAGGTGGAGGAGAGTAGTCTGAAACTGTAGCGAGGATGGGTTGAGCAGCGGGTGAAAGGTACAGGTGCCGCATCTGGAGGAGGAGGAGGAGGAGGAGGAGGAGGAGGAGGAGGAGGAGGAGGAGGAGGACGAGGAGGAGGAGGAGGAGGAGGAGGAGGAGGAGGAGGTGGAGGAGGTGGAGGAGAGTAGCTTAAAGCTGAAGCTGGGGACGTGCAGGCGAGGGGGAATGCCCATGCCTGTGCACCCGGTTGCTTATAGAGGGTGATTCTGTAGCGAGGATGGGGTGGGGTGAGCAGCGGGTGAAAGGTACAGGTGCCGCATTTGGAGGAGGAGGAGGTGGAGGAGAGTAGCTTGAAGCTGAAGTTGGGGACGTGCAGGCGAGGGAGGATGCCCATGTCCGTGCACCCGGTTGCTTATGGAGGGTGATTTTGTAGCGAGGATGGGATGGGGAAGGATTGTGAGGAGCAGATACCGCATCTGGAGGTCAGGGAGGTGGAGGAGAGTAGCTTGAATCTGAAGCTGGCGACGTGCGGGCGAGGGGGGGATGGCCATGTCTATTGACCCGGTTGCTTATAGAGGGTGATCTTGTAGCAAGGATGGGGTTGGGTGGGCAGGGGATGGGAGGAGCAGGTGTAGCATTTGGAGGAGGAGGAGGTGGAGAGCAGTCTGAAACTGAAGTGTGGATGGGGTGAGCAGTGGGTGAAAAAGTGCGGGTTCCGCATTTGGAGGTGGAGGAGAGCAGTCTGAAACTGAACTGGATCTTCCATGATCCCATCTATGTGGATTGGATCCAATTGCGGTTAAGAAATGGGTAGCTGTTGTAACGGCGGTGAAGAGTATGCATGCATGTGGGCTGTGATTTCCAATTCTGGGGTTGATGAGGTGGAGTGGAGAGCAGTGGTAGCCGAAGCTTGGGCGTGCAGGAGAGGTTAATGCGAGGATGATTGGTTCGTTCGCAGCTACCAGGCCACCACCTGCATCTGCTCTGCTTATTTACAGACGTCTATTTGGTGCTTGTAGAGACTGTAGTGTAGAGGAACAGATTGGTCAGAGAAAACATACCCTCACACTGAATCGTTGTATTCAAGGTGGATTGGTGCTAGTTACACCTTTGATATGCTTGTTTGCAGACGGTATGTTGTGCTTGTGGAGACTGGGAGAACAGAATGGTCAGAATACCGTCATCGCCCGGATATAAGACATATATGTCTTATCTCATACACTAAAAAAAATGCTTGGGTTATCTTGTATTTGAGGAGGTTTTGGGTGTCTTATAAGTCTTATAAATGGAAACCTTTTTAAACTACTTTGAAATATTTTCACGCATCTTGAAAAGAGTTTCTCATTAAGTGTCGATGTTGCGAAGTTGCCACTTCGGCAACCATTGTTCGGGACGCCACGTCATCCCGAATACTTGCAGAGTCAAATTTGGTAGTATGTGACTCAGCACGTGGCAGAATTCGCGTGTCGCAAGGGTAAAAATGTACGCGGTATTTCAATTTTCACTATAATACATTGCAGTTTCGATTATAAGACACATATGTCTTATCTCGTACACACAAATAGGTGTCGTATAAAAAGGCTAGCCTGTTTATAAGAGACACCCGTATAATAGACAACCCCTGTCTACTATTCAACACTGTCTTATATCCGGGCGATGACGGTAAGAGTAGCCCTCACCCACCCTGTTTAATTGTATTCAAGGTGGAATTGTGATGCTCATGCTCCACCTTTCACATGCCATAATTTGTTTCGAAGTCCTCCATCTAAACAGATCATATATCCAAGGAGCTTTGCATTCTGAATAACTTTGTGGCATCATAGTGTACAGAGACACAAAAATTAGTGAGGCATTGACTTTTCAGTTTGGGGCGGTTGCTTGGGGCTGTGTGTTGCGATTCAGTTTGCTTTCGCCCATTATTTTCGCGAACCATTGCCTTCGCTTTTGTTCCGAACCATTCCCCCAACCTCCTCCCGAACTTAGGTTTTACCAAGTTGACCAGCTTTGAGTAATTCGGGGTTAGGCCTTTAAAAACCTACACGCCCGCATCTTTTGCAGTTCAGTCACACACATCACCATCTCAACTAGGTAATCACTCGATTTTCCCGCCTGGAAAAGGCAGTTCGAGCAAAGCTGCATGCCCGCAAGGAAGGGCGCATTTTTCGCCGGCTGTAGCGCCAAGGCGAGAGAAACTTACTGTACTGTAATGGAAGCGTATTAAACGAGAGAATTGCTCCAGTGCCGTGTTTCGTGATTCGCTCTTGCCCGCGTGTCCCCGAATTGCTCGAGTGGCCATCAAATTTGGTGATAATTGCTCGAGTGGCCACGCCAGGGCATTTTCGATGTGTTTTTTTTCCCCGACACATTACCCTGCAAGGGATTGTATCCCCGAAATGCCTCGTTCGCGCGGGTCTTCTCCCGCGGTAGTGTTTCGTATTATTCCCCACCCGGAAATTTCGGGTGGGTGGCGGGCTCGAACGTGGCACACAGTGTACACGAAACCGACAAAAATGCACGACCAACAATAGATTCGCGATCAATGAGCGCGCATATGCTCGACCTGTGAGAAAACGAGGGATCAAGTAGGAAACCCTAGAAATGTTGTACCCTGTAGTGTCTACCCTACTACAGCATAGATAGACTATAGTATATAAGTTTGACACACCCCTATAGGGAAAGTGGGGGAGAACAAGAGGTCACAAGACCAGTCAAGCAAAGCACAGCAAGCTCAGGGTGGATCACAACGTCACCACACATTCCGAGCACAAGTTCAAGGCCACAAGGCCAGTTCACATGCAAGATCATATATAAAGGTAAACAAGCAAGTGGAGGTATAGATAGATCACAGTACAAGCAAGGTCAAGAACTAAGCAAGTGAGGCCAAGTAGGCACAAGACCTAGCATCGTACAAAAGCGCTGATGATCACAAGGCGGAAGTGCCTTGGTAAAGATATCAGCAGTGTTGGCCTGAGAGGCCACGTAAGCAAGACGCAGCTGACCACACTGCTGCAGCTCACGAGCAAGGAAGTAGCGAAGAGCAATGTGCTTCGTTCTGTGCTCCAGTCTGTGCTCCCGACACAAGGCCAGCATGGCCTTGTTGTCTACGTACAGAACTGGAGGAGAACGAGGCGGCTCTCCGAGGTCACTCAGCAGGTAGGTGAGCCAGCGTAGCTCCTGTGCAGCCATGGCCCCTTCGTAGATCTCAGCCTCACAGCTGGAGCCGAGAACAGAAGACGAGCGGGTAGACCGCCACGAAACAGAGCCGGAACCAAGGCTGAAGGTGTAACCCTGTGACGACCGCTGCGTAGCCTGGTCGTCAGCCCAAGAAGCGTTTGCGTGACCAGTGAGGACCACTGAACGCCGCCCTCCAAGCACTAGCCCCATGCCCGACGTACTGCACAAGTAGCGCAACACCCTCTTCGCTACAGCCATGTGCTCTGGTCGGTGTCTCCCAGGAGTAACATAGCATGCCAAGATGCTAAGAGGGTATGCAAGGTCAGGTCGAGTGCAGGTCATCAGGTACATGAGGCAGCCAACAAGTGAGAAGAAACGAGGAATGAGCATGACTAAGGGAAAGTTGGGTACAAAAATGCAAACCCTAGAAAACTGTACCCCATATGTGCTACCCCACTATAGCCTACAGTAGCTCTGTCATATAAATCTGACACACCCCCATAGGCAAAGTGGGGGAGAACAAGGGGTCACAAGACCAGTCAAGCAAAGCAAAGCAAGCTCAGGGTGGATCACAAAGTCACCACACATTCCGAGCACAGGTTCAAGGCCACAAGGCCAGTTCACATGCAGGATTACATATATATATATAAGGCTAGACAAGCAAGAGCAGGTGTATATATATATGCAACAGTACAAACAAGGTCAAGGGGTGAGCAAGTGAGGCAAGGTAGGCACAAGGCCCAGCTGAGTACAGAAACGCTGATGATCACAAGGCGCAAGTGCCTTGGTGAAGATATCAGCAGTGTTGGCCTGAGAGGCCACGTACGCAAGCCGCAGCTGACCACGCTGCTGTAGCTCACGAGCAAGGAAGTAGCGGAGAGCAATGTGCTTCGTTCTGTGCTCCAGTCTCTGCTCTCGACACAAGGCCAGCATGGCCTTGTTGTCTACGTACAGCACTGGAGGAGAACGAGGCGGCTCTCCGAGGTCAGTCAGCAGGTAGGTGAGCCAGCGAAGCTCCTGTGCAGCCATGGCCCCGGCGTAGATCTCAGCCTCACAACTGGAGCCGAGAACAGAAGACGAGCGGGTAGCCCGCCACGAAACAGAGCCGGAACCAAGGCTGAAGGTGTAACCCTGTGACGACCGCTGCGTAGCCTGGTCGTCAGCCCAAGAAGCGTCTGCGTGCCCAGTGAGGACCACTGGACTCTGCCCTCCAAGCACAAGCCCCATGCCCGACGTACTGCACAAGTAACGCAACACCCTCTTCGCTGCAGCCATGTGCTCCGGTCTGTGTCTCCCAGGAGCAACATAGCGTGCGAGAATGCTAAGAGGGTATGCGAGGTCAGGTCGTGTGCAGGTCATCAGGTACATGAGGCAGCCAACAAGCTCTGGGTACGGGCCACTCGACTCTACGGACTCATCCGAAGGCAGAGCAGAGAGCGAGTGGCGAGTAGGCAGAGGAGTGGCGTGAGGCGAGGAGTACGTGAAGCCGAAGCGCTGAAGGACCTGCTGCACCATGTGTGACTGAGTCAGGGTAATGGTGCGGCGTGCTCTGTCCCGGGTGATCTGCAAGCCAAGGTAGCTGCGCAGTTCACCCAGGTCTGTGCACGTGTGTCTCTTCTGCAGCTCGGACTTCACGTGGGCGAGTCCAGCAGTGTCAGCTGTGGCAAAGACCAAGTCGTCGACGTACACGAGGATGTAGAACGGCGGCAAAGAAGTGTCGGTGCGCAGAAACAGCGACGGTTCGGCAGTAGAGGGAGCAAACCCAAGAGCCGCAAGTGTAGTCCTCAGTGTGTCGTGCCACTCACGCGGTGCCTGGCGGAGACCGTAGACTGGCCGCCGGAGGCTCCACTGGGTGCCAGGAGGAAAAGACCCAGTGAAGCCAGGTGGGCGACGCAGCCAGATCTCCTCGTGCAGGCTGCCCTGCAAGAAAGCAGTGCTGAAGTCAAGAGAGTGCAGCTCGTAGTCGCGGTGAGCAGCTATGTGCAGCAGTACCCGAAGAGTGGTCATCTTCGGGGTGGGAGAGAAGGTCTGAAAGTAGTCAACTCCCTGCCGCTGACTGAAGCCACGAGCCACGTAACGCGCCTTGAAGA